AAAGATCATGGAAGAAAATATCTAAATTTGGGGGATGTTACATGTCAGGAAGGCACAGAAAAGCAATAAAGTCTGTCTTAAAGTCCTGGAATTGCTAGATGCTGCCATTTTTACATTCTTTGTAAAGCAAGTTCTATTAGAATCAAAATCATTACTTCACACTGAAGGTATGATTCCATATTCCTAATCCAAAACCTGAAAACTAGGCAGTTGGTCTAATACCTGTGTTTCTACATGGGATGTTTCTAAGATTAGTTTCTAAGATAAATAAGGCCTCTGGTCAAACAAAGTAGATCTTGCTGTTTGAAGCAAGTATATAGCAAAACACTACTTTCTGAACACAGCCAAGAACAGGGAATTAAAAAAAAAAATCCACATATTTAAAAAACCAAAACCATACATTGAAGCTCAAGCACTACTCTCTTAGAATCTATTTATTCTTAAGCTAGACACACATTTGACCAAATGCTTTTCCAACACACGACAAACTAAAAGAGGGATACAAGCTACTAGGCGGACAGTTTTAGAAGCAAGGAAGAACAAAAAACATTAAAAGTAGCCAAATGTATTTTAAAAACTAGACTGAGGCAAGAACAGAGGCAAATGGTCCTCCATACTGGAGCAAGATTTGAAGTTGTCACTGTATAATCACATGGTGCTGAGTCAAAGGATGAATACGTTAAATGTTTGTGTTCTACTATGTGCCAGGAAGGATTTAAGAAGGCAGGACAATTTCCATCCAATACAATTAAAAATTGAGAGACTACTTTAATGCCGATAAGTGCACAGCTATCCTACAATACCAAAATACACTGCCAGGCTAAAAATCTCATTCCTTCAATGTTGATGACAGACATGGACAATATGTTGATGCCCAATTTGTAAGGAAGCTGGAATTTTTGTTTTTGTAATGGAGACTGCTAAATCAAGAATCCGCAAGGATTTTTTTCATGTCTGGAATACTGGGCCCCAAAGCGATGGTAGGACAAGGCTGGCCCGGAAAATCTCTCTCAACTCCCAAAAAGAGGCATTGGAGGAGCTGCCCTGTTTTTATCCTGAGTAAAAAACAGATAGGACTAGAAGCTCCTGTGGGGTCAGGATATCAGTTATCCTGATATCATCTAATACTGATATAGATAATGCTGGTCAATACCTTACATGGTTTACAGAAACCTTTAGCAACAACCATCTGCATGTAGCTAGCATAAGTGCCTTTCAACTAAGAAAAGTTAATATTTGTTTGCCATTGACAGTCAAGAAATTGCAGTGGTTAACCTGTTCCTTAAAGTGTTTCCCAGAACTGGATAGTCAGGTAGTACTCAAGAAAAATCATTTAAGCTCTTTTGATTGTATCATGCAGAAAGACTCAATTTGGCATTTATGTCTTCTATTCTTACCTGGTATTGTCTACTAAAGACATCTTTTAATAAAGGGTAGACTTTGGACTCAGTTTTCACTGGCAATGTTATATAGCCAGAATTTAATAACACTGCTTTGTTTTTCACTACATTTTGAGTGAAATGTATTCTATTCACAGAAACTAATTTTCCATTTATCAAAGTGATAGTCTTCCTTCTTAAAATAAATTTACACCAAAAAGTGAAGTTTAAAAGTATTAAGCAAATAATACTTTTAAATATGGATTAGGATACTACGTAGAAATAGCAAAATCCATCAAGATCTTTCTATTGTGTCTAAAGCTTAGGAAACTCTGCTTTAAAGTCTAGTTACCACACACATGAATCAAAAGCTGTTATTTTATAAACTACCCGATTAGTAAGTTGTGACTAGGAAAACTCTTCCCTCATACTGTTAAGTGATATAATAGCCACATTTTTAGGATAATCATAAATTAAATCACTCATCTTTCAGTGAGCAAACTTCAGGCCAAGGAGGACAAGTGACCTGTTCAAGATTCCAGGCAAGCTCCCATCTCTGGATTTTTGGTCCAGAGCTCTTATATCACACTGAAACAGGAAACAATAAAGGATATCTGGCCTCTCCAATTGATGTGTAGAGTTTAGGCAATTACAGTAAAGGAAGTTCCAAAATAAAAACTTACACTTTACTTAAAATGTATCTCAAACTACATCGAACTCTAAGTACTGGATTCAGAGCAGAACTGTCTAGCTGATTTACACCAACTGCTCCTTGAAGACTCACACCTCCATTTCAGGTGGGGTCATGAGGACAGAACCCTCCGAGGAAGCCAGCTAATGGGTGTATAGAAAGAATTGGGGAGATGCCCTTTTCACTGGCTTTCTCAGCTCCTTACTGGGAAAGTGGAAGCTATTAGAAGAGTACAATCTCATTTTCCCAATGCCACACTTAGGAAACTAATCTGCATATGCCCCCAATTCACCACAGAATCTAAGCTCCACGAGATTACAGATTTTTGTCTTGTTTTGGTCATAGTATCTGAGACAATGACTGCAAATAGGTCCACAACAATATTTAAGTGAATAAAACCACTGCCTTCCCTGTTGACATGGACAACGAACTGTCCCTTTGCCTACTGAGACTAACTTCTCCAAGGTCCTAGATCTCACTCCATCTTGCCTGCCTATTCTGATTTCATTCCTATAAAAATCCCAACAGCATTCACTTGCCCTTCTAATGGAATATCCCAATCAGCAAATAATCATGCCATGTTACCTCCTTAAAAGTTAAAATCACCTTCCCTTCAGCTACAACACACTTCTGTTCCCTTTTACAACACAGTTTGAGTTGCCTATAGTTGTCTCTACTCTTCTGCTCACAAGCCTTCCCACCAGGCCTTCAACCCCCAAACGTGCAGCATGTGAAACTCAACTACAATCCTCCCAGTCTAATGGTCAGTGCTCCTCTTCCTTGAACAGCACTTGAGTGGATGGATGACTCTTCTCAAAACTGTTTCTGGTTCATCTCATACGAAGAGCTCTCGGGCTCCTTTGCTGGCTCCTCCTTTAAACGTTGAAACCAGAGCCCACCCTGACTTCTTCCAGATCTTTTTGGTTGCTACTTGAGATGTGGGCCCTTGAAACAGCAGCATCAACACCGAGAATCTTATCAGAAACGTAGAATCTCAGACCCACATCAGACCTACAGAATCCAAATCTGCATTTTAACAAAATGAGGTGATTCATATGTATACCAAAATGGAGACACTCTAACTACCTGAGTAATTCCAGTCACATTACTTCAAGCTCCATAGATTGACTCTCCAAATGTTTTATCTCCTGTCCTCTCCAAGTTCACCATAGGCTGAACTCCATGCTGGATTCTACCAGAAATCTATTAAGTATCTCAAACCTAAGGGCAATACAGAAGTCTTTATTTTCTTCCTTCAGGCCAGAAACCCAAGTCATCTTTGTCATCTCTGACTTCTAATCCCTGGGCCGAAGTCCTGTTGGCTATACCTTTAAAACAGAGTTCTATCACTAGACACTACTTCTGCTGCTATCACCCTAGTTTAAGCCACCAATACTTTGGGCACAGACTTCTGAGTCTCCTAAATCTCTTTATTTTCACCTAAGCTCCCTACAATAAACTCTGCAGAGTATTCAGTGATCTTTAAAGAATGTAAATCAGATCATAGCTCAAAACCCTTCAATGGCTTCCCAAATTCTCTACCATGGCTTTCAAGAGGCCTCCATTTTCTAGCCCATCCACACTGTGCTCTAATGCTTTACTTTAGTCCAAGTGCCAAGCTTGGTCCCTCCTCCCTCCCCCTAATCTTTGTTCGCTTCACTAATTTGTTTCTGTTCTCAGTTCTAAAACCGTTGACAGACCTTTTTTGATAACCATAATTCAGATTTCCACCTCCTCTTCCATTCATTTCCACCCCTTTGCTCTGCTTTACTTTTATTTTAGCACTTAAATAGTTAGCTAACGTTACAATGTATGGTCCATGAGCAGGGGCTTTTTCTTTTCATTCCACAACTACTTCAAACAGTGCCTGACACATAATAAGCGCTCAAATATTGAGTATTCAAGCATGGGTGGTAGAACTGTGGTGGGGGGCAGGGGATATACTTTTAGGCATCAGCATTTATATGTGCTTCAGAGGTGCACAAATCTGGATGTAGAGAATCTGCCAACAGTTTTCAATACATTGAAATTTTCAAAATGTGGCAGCGATTCTGAAACTTTTCTGTACATTAGAATGAAGACCTTTTAAAACTCTAATGCTCAAGTCACATTCCAAATAAATTAGATCACAATGGCTGGGAGTGGGGCACAGGTATCAGTATTTTTTGAAGCTCCTGAAGAAATTCCAATGTGAGAGGATTTGGCAACCCATAATGTTGTATGGGTAACCACGAAGTGACTTAGTATATGAGACCTAGGATACTTAACAAAGGAAATCCAACCATGATGTTACGTAAGCTTAAGACTTCTATTCCTAAGTGGTATATAAATCAAAAGGAAATTCATAAAAATAAAACAGTTTCAAACATTAGGTCTTAAGGAGAATACATCTAGGGTTTTCCAGATTTGTTTTCCTGTTAAGTCTAATCCAAACTTGGGCAGTTCTATAAGGAAGTTTGATTTTTTTCCTCCCATCTGCTAAGGTAACTATGTATGAAAAGTGGTGACTTCTATGTAAGTCACATCTGAAGGCTGCTGGGGGTTTTGTACATACTGATATTTTTAACGGCGTCAAGTAAATAGCTCCATTCTGGTAAGAAGTTTGTAATCACTGAAACAAAATCCTATATTCTCAAGAGAGACAGGATTCCTTTACAACTCAACTAAGTTACAATAAAATAAGTTCTTAACCATGTTGCCTAGTATTTCTTGCTCAAAAAGCAATATAAGCAACTGGCTCCGGTCATCAGTCAAAAATTATCCTCAGGACAGAAGCTAACCAAATATTGTGCATTTACCCATGTCAAAGTTCATGTTTAAACTGTCTTCATACCTCAGAATGAAGGACAAAATTAATAAAAGAGAACAAATCATTTCATTACTAAAATCCTTACTACAGTGAGTACTATAGACTACAAAAGCATCTTGGAGATATTTAAGCCAATTCACTTTACAGATGAATGATCTGACACTCAGACAAGGTGAAATTACATGAGAGCTAGAAGAGAAAAAATAACAATTTTTTTTCCAAACAAGCAGACAGGATTTTTCACATGTTAATCAAAAAGAATCAAGATCATCAGATTGGGAAGAAATGAGGAATAGAAAGTATGTTACACATAGATTTAAAGAATTAGTCAATCTGCTGCCCCCAAAGCCAAAAATTTATCCAAACAGATGGACACATATCCATCAAGATGCTTACCCTTAAAATATTAGAATCATGGAAAATTCAATTTACAAATACATTATTAATTGCATTGTTATAATGAAATTGGTTCATTAAATATGAAAACATCAAACAGCACCAATACCAGAAAGTTAAGAATGTAAATATACTATTATTTAAAATAATGTATAGTCACTCATTGGGACAGAAATAAATTACAGCCACTAGCAGAATTAGTTAAAACAACTGTTTGATGCAAAGTCAATATTTAAAGACTAGTATATGCCCTCTTCCTCTGATGGGTCTGTGGCTAAGCATTCTGGCAGTGGATCACATGGAAAATATTAAGACACATTTTTAAACTGTTCAAACTTGAACCGGGCTACTATATAACCCAAAGTTTGCCAACATAAGCCAATGGCTGCATTTTCAGTATCTTAACTACTCTTACCTACCCCAGTAGAAACAAAACACAAAACAATTCCTTATTAAGCACTAGGTTAAACGTATCTACGAAGCAGCAGCTAGGCATTTACAAATGGGCTACGTGTATCAAAATGCTACCAAGGAAAATACAGCAGCAAAAACTCTAGTAAGAGCACATTATTCCACATGGAATTCCAAATTACTCTTATCTCTAGCTCCTTGAATTCCTGGAAGACTAGAGATGAACAGTGTATGTATAAATAGGGCTAGGGAAAAAAAAGCTCTAAATGGCATAGTGTTCATATTTTAAATTACCCAAGATTATATGATGTTTACAGAGAAATCCAACTATTTAAATTTTTTAATCTTACAGAACTAAAATGCTAGCAATAGTTTTGTGTTTACCCCAAAAATAGCATTGTGGTTTTAAGTGAAAATGAAATAGGCATGGTTTGTGAAGTTTTTACAATGTTCACATCCACCTCTCCCTGTTCCCTGCTCCTTTCATCAGGTGATCTGAAGACTACCTGGTTTAAAATATTTGGTAATTCAGTGCAGAAAATTAAGGTCACAGACAAAGTACAACAACTTTTAATACACCATTAATACTAATGATTAAAAATTATTGCATAGTCTTATGCATTTACCCTAAAACATTTTCTGAAAGTAAACGAGTTATATAAAAGACAAGTAACCCTTTAAAATGTAGATGGCCTTCACTACCTCGATCTTCTATCCTTTTTTGTCTTTTCAGTACTTTTGTCCATTGTTTTCTCATTATCTCCCCTACACTTTGGGCAATACCATTTCCCCTTTGGTTTATAGGTAAGCGAAACACATGAAAAGTGGAACCATTCAATTGGACACTGTTCATTATCACATCCTATCATCTCCCCATAAGACACTTGGTTGCATAAGCAGTATGTGGGTTCATTGGGATCTATTGCAAACTCAACTGGTGAAGCTTCCCTTTCCTGCTTGGCCTTAGAGCGTTTCTTTTTCTTTGCTGACTTAGATTTCTTTTCTTTTGGTGGCTGATCATCACAGTCTTCAATTCCATTTGTCATATGACATAAATCACGGCTTTCACTGGTTCGCTGCCTGCGGGGTCTTCTCGAAGATCTTTCTGGTTGGCTGGAATCCATCTTTGCTTTATCAGAGGCTCGTTCACTTTCAGCAGGATCTTGGAAACACTGTGAATGTAGCTCCATTTGTCTTGCCCGATTTTCCACCAATTCAAGCATCTGTGTGACAATCTGAATTTTTTCATCTCCCAATTCTTGACTATTGATTAATGCTCTCTGGAGAAGCTGCTGCAGGCGTTTTTTCTGGTTTAAATCATCTTCTTTCTTATATTTTTCATAGACATCATCAATTTCCTTTAATGTTTCTAAAAAAGGAAAAGAAAAATGAGAATGTTATCATGCGTTGTCACACATAACATTTCCAAGTTAGTTATTTTTCACAGAATTGGTAAAGTTATTAGAACTAACTCAAACCATGAAACCACACTAAAAATATTATTTCCCAAACAAGGACCACATTATCTAACATGAAAATATACTTAGAAATAAACTAATGAAGAGGGAATCGAAAACTCGAATACTCATTAATCCAGATGAAAAGGATAAGAGACGTGTGGCCAATGGATGATCAAACGTATTTGGCCCGGGCAGGAACACTGTATGCCACTTTAGAGTCCGCCTAGTGCCATAACACCTACCCCTCATTTGAACTTCAGACCAATCCTATATATAGCATTTACATGCAGGACTCCAGCTATAAAACTTGAAGAGGTTTCTGGACTGGGCTACAGATTACTGCTCAACTGTGTTTATGGGACTTACAATTCAATCAATGACTTCCTACATGACTCCAGAGAAACTTTTTATCATACCCCTGGACATTCTTAAATAATGCAGACATAAGCAACTCTTAGCTTCCTATCATCTTGGTATTAATGGCTCTTGTATTTTAGCATCACATGGGAAATTCTGAAAATCAAACTATTTCCAGAGATGATTCTGGTTCTGGCATCAACTGACCAAGCCAATAACAAAATTATCGTCAAGTCAGCACTGGATCACTCTGCCTTTGTAGATAAATCAGCAGTTGGTTCTAAGCTTTTTGAACTGCTGATTTAGTTGTATGGCATGTGAGACACCTATTTAAATCAAATAAAAACAGCTGAGTCACTAGAAGACATGTGAAAATATAATTTCAAACGTCACCAAAAATTTACTTAAGACTAATTTTATTCAAATCACTTTATTTCTTATCCTTATAAGATAGGATGCTATCTGAAAAGAATTTGTCCAACTAAAAGGTGGAGAAACAAAAACTGACTCTAATTTATCACACCACATGGCACGACACTGTTTTTTATACCATATTATTAACAACCACATGGCATACCATTGCTTTATATTCTAATATTATTCTGAAAAAAAGAAATGTTAGACAAGTAAGTATATACTTTGGGGCTGTCCGCAAGTAAGAAACACAAAGCAAATGAACAAATATTCAACACCACTCATGTATTAGCTCCTCCCTGGAAACTGCAGGTTCTCACATTTGATGGACAACTGCTTAACCTGGAATACAGGACAAAGTGCCACCACACAGCTGAGGATACTCATACTGCATAGCATATGTTCGAACAAAGTTCAATATCTAACCCATTTGCTCAACTAGGCATCTAAGCAGATTTCTTAAGAACCTAATTTTCCTACAGGAAAAATAAGGAAATTGGATACCTTCCCCTTAGAGATAAAAAAAATTTAAGGAGAGGGAAAAAAAAGGTACAACTCATTTCAAATATTCTATACCTAATATTCAAGTGTTAGAAGCTAATTACATTATATACCATACCAGCACATTGATATTATACATGAGGCTAAAAATTCACATTTTTAGGACACCTTATTACAAAGTGAAAGAAGAGAGAAAATTAACATTTACTCAGTCCCTTCTATATGGTATATTTTCTCACTTAATCCCCACACAACAACCCCATAAGGAAGTCATCACTTCTGCATGTGAAGAAAATGAAAGAGGTGAGAACTCTGAACTCTGCCAAATACATATGTCTGACCTCACAGCTTAAGCAGTTTCTATAAACTATACAAAAGGCATTTGAAATTAACTACGAAATTTTAGTTCAAAGATTTTAAATAAGCCAAGAAATTATGAACGAAAATATCAGAACAAAAATAAAGGTTCTCTAATAACTCTATCCTATAATATATACTTCAATTTTGAAACTGCTTTCTACTTTATTTTATAGGTTCTTCAGTAATTTTTAAGTGTTCTCAAATAGGTGGGAGAAAAATTTATTTTACTGACTACATAATTTCTATCACTAAATATTGCTAAAAGTATTAGACACAAAGCCAGAAATTACTTAAGAACTAGCGAGAAGATAAAAAAAGAGTATCTTAACCAAGAACCAAAAAGTATATAAAGCTAATAAACATAAAACTGTGAAAGTTGGGCTCAGTGACCAAGTGCATAGGGTGAAAACTACATCACTGTTGCTATATTAGTTTTTAAATTAAATTCCAATCTTAATAGAGATTTTTTATCATCTCTCAGTCTTGTAAGGCCTACTATATTACTCGTGTTACCAGAGTTACATGACAACTCTTGATGATCAGATAACAGATTTCCCTGTCAACAAACCAAATTATGTGTCCCGCCCCAATTTCAAATGATTAACTTTTGTGAAGGCAAACATGTGCCTTTAAGGAAATGTAAAAACCTGCAAGCTTTGCAAACTCACACACATATGATCAATTTGTGGTTACCATTCATGTAAGCGCTCCATGTGTGTAGAAAATCCCACTGGATGGCTCTTTTAAAAAAAAAATTTAAATAGAAAACAAGGATGAAGTCGTAGGCTTTAGAGTTCAAATATTCTACATCTAATTAACTGGATGTTTTAAGTTATTTAAACTCTTTGTAAATTTTAACGAATCTGTAAAATGAGTCCTTAAATCAGTTTGGACCTGGCGCAGAGACTGACATACAGTAAGCAATCAGTATTAAATTTTCCTTCCCCACCAGAGATCAGTTCTATCAATCATACAGATTTTAAAACAGAAATAAATGTATAGATTCAAAAACCTAGACATTTCAAGGTCACCCCGGAAGTGGATTCCTTAGAGACTAAACCATAGGATTACTGATGTGTCTACCAAAAAACCCAGAACTAGGTCCAAGAAGTTATCTCCTCAAGTACCTACGGCTGTCTCCACTTCACACTCAAGGTTTGCTCCTTGATTCGGGGTCATTAAACGCAAAACACGTCCCAGCTCAACTCCTCTCTTCCTAGCATCGGGCCAGAGGTCACCGAGAGGAGACGGCGACAACACGCTAAGCAAGGCTGGCTTGGACCCCGCTCCGCGGGTCGCGTTTCCGACTCATCCCTCCTCGCCG